CAGTCAGAGAAATACAAGTATCACATGATCTCACTCATATGTGGAATCTAACAATAAACTGATGAACGGAGTGGATCTGAGACATGGAAGCCTTGAACAGAGTGTGGAATCTTGGAGGGAAGGTTGGGGAGTGTGGGTGGGACCTTGTATGCATATATGCATAACCCATTGACACAAACAATAGGGTGCTGAAAGCCTGAGGTGGAGGTGTGGGGTGGACTGGAGGGAGTCAATGGGGGTAAGGGAGGGCATATGTAATATTTTCAACAATAAAATTTTTTTTAAAAAGTAAAAGATAAAAAAAAATATATAAAAAATAAAAAGTAAAAGTAAAAGAGTTACTTGTACAAAGATCAGCTAGGTCTGAAAGGGCAGAGGTGGGCCTGGCACCGGGAGCAGGAAGGTTCCCCTGAGGCTTGCGGGATTGGGGGATGTGAGGTCCCAGGAAGGGGAGGTTTCGAAGGAGTGGGGATTTCCCTGGTGAGCAGGTCTCAGAGGTGCCCCTGAAGGGCCTAGCAGGCAAAGCTGATGAAACTGTTGCTCAAAACTTAGAGAAAGGGGAGAGGTTGTCCTCAGAGCAGTGTGCCACCAGGCAGTGTCGCCCACCTTCCTGTGTCCCCTGTACTTTGTGCTTCCTAGGGAAGCAGTGTGGTAAACCTTGGAGTCAGACCAACTTGTAATCACTCTTCTGAGTCTCACTTTCCTCATTTACAAATGGAGGCTACAATACCATCTACCTTGGGCTGTTGTGAGGATTAGGAATAATGTAAAGCTCCTAATATATAGTGGGTGCTCACTAGATGACCACTGGTATGTACCTGCATGGCTACTATTTTTATTTGTGCTACCACCAAGAATAGGCTGGCCCAAGTCATTGCTGAGCTGTACTCTGAGAGATGTTCATTTCCAGCTGGGACAAGACACTGAATTCTAAGACTGTTCACCACCCTTTCACATACATTTGTCAAAGGTGTCTTGGCAGGCAGATATGTAAAAACTGGTTCCTGGTTCCCACTGCACATAGCAATTCTCTTTGTTGCTCATCTCAGCACACAAAGAAAAGTATTTCACAAACCTTATGCTGGTGGTGATATATAGAAGATAGATTGAGAAATCATTAGAGGGGTAGGGATTAAAATAAAGTTGTGAAACACTGATGAAGAAAAAAATGCATCTGCTCTCTGTCCCCCTAACCTACCAACAGCCTGCTGCTCTCACTCCTTGTTCCTGTGCCCCGTTTTAGAACCGTTCAAAATGCTTCCACGTATGGATTTCATTTGCTCCTCACTCTAGCCTGTGAGGTAAGTAGGGCATTCGTTGCCTGCAACAGAGGAGCTAAGGTAATGACAGAATTGGGATCTGGAGCCAGGTCTCCTTGTTACAGAACATGAGTGAACTGTGCCAGGTTAAGCTGTACCTTGGATGAATGGGTTCAAAGCAACCCGTGGGGAAATGATGTTTTGCAAGGAGACAGTGATAACAGCACCTTGCTGCAGAGTGTCCAACAGAGATAGTGGCAATGCCTCTGTTGTATTGATGAGCAAACTAGAGGCCCAGGGGAAGCAGAGGACAACTTTGGAGTTCAGATGACACAGAAAGGTGGATTTATTTCAAACGTTTTTTTCCAAGTTGTTTTAAATGACAGAAGTGATGCAGGTGACTTGGATGCTCCAGGGTCACCCAGCTAGGGCGTGGCAGAGCCCCCAGGATTGAGATTCTAACTCAGGGCTCTTAACTGCACTTCTGGGGCTTGGAATCAGCTCCTTCAGTCCCGCAGCTTTTCTCACAGGGGTGTTAAGAGGAACAAGAGTGGGAAGGATAAATCACTGCATAATAGCATTAAAAGAAATAGTGCTCCAAGTTCACCTTTCGTAATCAAATGGGCCTCCAGGTAAAAACTACTGAGAGCAAATGTGGCTACAGTGGCAACGGTTCTCAACCTGTGGGTCGCGACCCCTTTGGCGGTTGAACGACCCTTTCACAGGGGTCGCCTAAGACCATCCTTCATATCAGATATTTACATTACGATTCATAACAGTAGCAACATTACAGTTATGAAGTAGCAACAAAAACAATTTTATGGTTGGGTCACAACATGAGGAACTGTATTTAAAGGGCCAGAAGGTTGAGAACCACTGGGCTACACTGTCTACTTACTAGCTGTGTGACTGAAGTAAGTTACCCACTTCACTTCCCAGAGCCAGTTTTCTTCTCTGTAAGGTGAAGATATCAATTCCTGCCTGATAGATTGTGGAAATGAAATAAGCAGCATATGTGAAAGAATTTTGTAAACTATGGAGTAGTATTATCTAGTTGAAAGCTTTGTATCCTCACTTCTCAGAGTCCCCCAAACCCAGCTCACTCTAGGACCCTGAAAGGCCTGGCTCCGGTGGGAGTAGAGAAGGTGGTTCTATTTTGGTCTCTCCAGCCTGAAGACCAGAGAGGAAAATGGAGGAAGGTAGGATTGCTCACAGCCTGTCTTCTTATCCCCCAGCTGAGGGGGAAATGGCAGGGGAGCTGGCATAACTTCTTCTTTGGTGAGTCAGCTAAGAAAGAATTTCTAGAGCTCCAATTATGTATAAGAGTTGGTTTAGGTTTGGATTTTTAAAGCTGCTTCCTCTTTTAAAGCAGCTTTAAGACATATCTAAAAGCACAAGTAATTGGCAAACACATGGCAAATGATAGAAGCACAGCTTCTTACTAGTGTGAACTTGAGAAAATCACTCAGCTTCTCTGGGCCTATTTTCTCATCTGTAAAATGGGGACAATGCAGGGTCATTGTGAGTATTAATAGTATGTGAGAGTGCTGGGTCCAGTGTCTGGCACACAACCGAGGCCCAATACCTGTCCATTTGCTTTCCCTTTCTAGTGGATAGACTGTAGTCATTGAGCTCAGAGGAACAGAAAGCACTGACTCTTCAGTTGTTTGATTCTATTATAGTGGCTGCCATTACTCATTTAATTCTCACAACCCCATGAGACAGCTCATCTACAGACATCGAGGAAGCAGGAGAGGTTCAGAGAAGTTTTATTGCCCAAGATCACACACCTTGCAATTTTTTAAATTGACTTTTAGAGAGAAACTGATATATTGTTCCACTTATTTATGCATTCATTGATCGATTCTTATATGTGCCCTGACTGGGAACCAAACCCGCAACCTTGGCGTATTGGGCTGAAGCTCTAACCAAGTGAACTACCTAGCCAGGGCCAGCTTGCAATTTTAAATCCTCACCTGAGGATATTTTTTTCATTGATTTTTAGAGAGAAGGAAAAACAGAGAAAAATATCTATGTGAAACATATCTATTAGTTGCCTCCTGCATTAGGAGCCTGGAACCCAGGTACATGCCCTTGACCAGAATTGAACCTGGGACCCTTCAGTAGCAGGCGAAAGCTCTATCCACTGAGCAAACTAGCTAGGGCCAGCTTGCAATTTTTAAAGTCAGGATTCACACCCACCATGTCTAGTTTGCTTTTTAGATAATCAAAATGTATGAGGGGGTTTAATCAAGCTGGATCTTCTGGAAGGCTCATCTTTAAATAGACTTGGACCAACAGGGTAACCCCAAACTGGCCCATTTTGAGAATAAACTCAAGGTGGAGCTTCAAGGACAAGAAACAGGCCATTGCCAGAGGCAGCCTGGCAATAATTGAAAGAGCTAAAAACCGAATGTTCGCTTCCCAAATCCTTGGGGAGTTTAATCTGTGCTCTATCAGTTTCAGGAGCTTATGTTGTGAGGGTGAGATGAGTCCTTTATTAAGCAGTATACAAATATATAATCGGTAGTCTTCTGTCATCTCCCCCTAAACACAAACTCCTACTCATGGCCTGACAGCCGTCCACTTCCCTCCCTAAAAATAAGAGGGAACCGAGTCTCCTTTTCAAACCCTCCCCTAAGCTAGATTGCAGAAGCGAGAATAGGAAGGCTGAGTCATCGTCCTCTTAGAAAATCTAAGAGTACCAAAGGCACTAGAACAAAGTAAGTTTTTTTTATACATATCTTTATTTCAACACATGGCTGCTTTTTAAAGCTATCAACCCAAGAGCTGAGGACATGTCTTCTTTCTACTGCATAAAGTAGGTACCTCTCAGTGTCATCTGTCCCAGCAGTCGCCAACCTTTTGGATCTCACAGACCACCAGTGGTCCGTGGATCACTGGTTGGCAACCGCTAATCTGTCCCACACCCCTCCTTCACACTCAGTCATTGGCACCTTACTCATCAGCAAAATGACCGCCTTGGCACATGTATCACTTCAGACTGTGCCAGGTATTGCACAGCACAGGTTAAGAAGGGCCAAAATGCTCCATTGCAGCCCATTTAAGAGCTATGTTATAGCTCGAGGTGCTCTTCTCCCTAAGGGTTATGGCAAATAGTTCCATGAGGGTAAAGACCCCAGCCTCCAATGCATATACAAGGATGGCTCTCATAACACCTGATCTGTTTCTCTCATTTCTCCTGGCCAAGGCAAGGAAGACCAGTTAGACAGGATTGTTATGATCCATTCATTTACAGCTGTAATTCCTGAAAAAAGAGTTGTGTGGCAGAGCAAGTCCTGGGTTTTGTGAGCGGTATTAGGTCGTTTCACAGTGCTGGGGTAGAAGAGTGAAAGCCCCAGCTCCTCTGCAGTTGAGGCTGGGAAACTCACTGCCCAGATCAAAGGCAGACAACCAAGATCTCTCTGTAAGCCCACACCTGACACCCTTCCTCCCCACAAGCACACACAAAACCCGCTGATACTGGTATTTCTGTATAGATGTAATAGAGAGGACTTTATTTTTAAGGAAAATTCATTCAGCCATTGATTATAGAGCCATTTCTTAGTAATATTTTTCTTCCCACCTAGGAATCTGAAATACAACATGATTAGGATAATGCCAAAACAAGAATTACTGGTTCATCACCTAGGGAATAAAACACACTTAATTGCTTGACACTTTATTGAACGCAAAGCAAGATTAAATGTCTTTGCCTTCTTGGTAGAGCTGAAAGGAGCCCAGGGAGGGGAAGACTGCACAGCTTTCCTTTGTGGGGAAGATGTGCGCCCCTGTAGTCCCATCTTGTTGTGGGAAGGCTAACCCATGTTCTTTCGGTTGCCATAGCCCCTAGGATGGGTGTCCTTCCAGTCATCCCACTCCCGAGCTCGGTGGAGTGTTTGCTCATCATCCTCTTCCTCCCTTTGTTCTTGATCTTCTTTTTGAGCTGCTCTTTTGGCCTCTGCCAAAGTAGAAAAATGAGAAAGCGATGAAATGTCAGGGACCTCAGCGCCATTCTGAACACCATCACATAAAATGAGAACAAGGCATATGGCTGACTGCCTGCCTGGGGCCAGCAGAAGCAGGGAGAGCACTTAGATACCTAACAGAGGACATACCATATTTGCCGGTGTATAAGACGATTTTTTGGCCCTGAAAAATATGCCTCCAAGTGGGGGGTCGTCTTATACGCCAGGTACACTTCA